AGGAGCTCCCTTCTTCTCATTCACCTGTTTCAGCGTCGGTCTTACCCTTTGTCTATCTCGACTGCCTAACATCCTTCTGGCTCACTGCTCACAAACCTTCATGAATGGCTGCCCAAATCCAGTCCGTTCTTTCCTGGGAAGGTGAGCAGGGTGACTCAGCATGCAGTTTTGGTTGCAGTTCCCACTCTTTCTCACTGTAAGTTGTTACCATACTGTCAGACTTCTGCTTTTCATTTGCTATTCCTTTCTCCCAAATTTCTTTTGTATAAAATCTCACCTATTTCCAAGACTCAACTCTAATGACGCCACCTGCTGAAAAAGCTTTCCTTTATCTTCCGCTCTAGAAGTGAGTCCCTCTCACTCTCATAGCATTATTTTCTCCCTTGTTTTGGAAACACTTGTCTACACGTCTAATTTCCTGGCAAGGGGATAGATTTCCCAGTGCCAACAACTTTGCCTCTGCTTCACTGTATCCTCTATTCCGTGAATTCTTGGTCAGTTTTTGCCAAATCGAACTGTGCCTTAAGACTTGGGTTACCACACAAGTATGTATAATAACCCTCTGCCAGGGTAAAAGAATCACCAGTGATGGTTTTGGCAGTAGTTTTACAGCTTTGAAGCTCATGCCCATGAGATCTATTGTGTCCCCTTTCAACACCTGGCTGGCTTAACTAAAGTGAGTTTAGTACTTTCCCTCCCCCCGTAACCAGTTTTAGAATTTGCAGTCTGTTGTACGACAAGTTCACGTGGTATATCTTTTTGTGGACTATTTCACATATGAAGATGTGTATTTGTAATGTTTGCATTACTCAGAAAGCAGATGGTTCTAAGAAAAAAAAATGACATAACTGTGTTCAACTATGTGAAGGTCCTGAGGTTCACAAAATTCATTCTTAATTCTGTTTATAAAACTTTTGTGCATTTGTAATGTTAAAATAATAAATCTTATTCTGAACACCCTCTTCTCCTCCCCATAAAATAATGTGGAGGCATTTATAGAAGAGAGATACTGGAGAGTATAAATCAAGAATTTATTTATATCTTACTTGTTCCAGAAAGAGAGTAAGGAGGCTTATAAAGTATGGCAGGTTATCATTAATTAAAACCAGGGCCACAGAAGAAAGGAAAACAAGGGCTGGGGTGAAGCAGAGTCAGAGTCCTGCCGAAATGCCACCGAGATATGTAAGTGGGCCACTGGCTCTGCGACTTTCAGCAGTCAGTTTGGAAATGGAAACTTGAGATTAAGGCCCACTCACCCGAATTTCTGTCCTAGCAAGTTCTGGCCTGTTATCTGTAAACGGGCCAAGATGGCCAATGAACCGGTGCCAGAGGAAATCTAGCTTGTGGGTGGGCAGAGAATCGCAAGAACTGAATGTCCTTCGTCCGAAGCTAACGGGCCCCACCGCCTCCCTCGCTGCGCCCTGGGCTCCGGGCTTCTGCTTGCACTCTGTCCCGGTTGCTCTCCAGCACATCAGCGTCTGCTGTTCTGTAGGACATCCCACAGGGTGACAGAAGGGGGGCAGACACACCGAGGCAGGTGCGGACCCCAGCCTTCATCATAATCCTAACCCAGGCAAACCAAGTAATTCAAGGAAAAGAACTGCTCCAGGGTTGTTGCCACAAAGGGAAATTACAGAGTTGGTTGGAGATTTCACCAGAGGTTTTCACGGATCTTGAAGTAATCTGCCTAGAGCTGGAATTTCGGTTCCCCCCTCCATTTAAAGCCATAGAGAGCTGAGAAATCGGTTTGCAATAGAAAAAATAGAAGAAAAAATTAACTACAGGTCCATTAAATGCCTTTGAAATAAAAGAGGTTTTGGTAGATGCAGTGGAAAGAAACAGCATGGGGCACAGTTCTTGTGGCCTGACAGCAGGCGTAGGAAAGTCATTCCGGGTACGTGACGAGGAGGACAAGAACCCTGGACGAGTGGCACGGACAGCGGGTACACGGGTTTTAAGGGGGATGAAGCAGCCAACTTCGAGTGTGAGTCGCGGGAAGGAGGTGGTTCTTGAAAACTGGGCTGGGTTTTCGTCAGCAGAGTTGATGGGGAAGGATTGTGGGTGGAGTGAATAAAATGATGAGCTATCTGGAGGGAAGCAGATGGCAAGCACTGAAGCCAAACGGTGACTAGACGTTTCTATCGGAAGTAGAGAGCAGTGAAGCTAGGGAAAACTGTAGTGTGTGGAGGCCCATCCACAAATGCTGTACCTGGGCCCGTGAGCAACAGGGAATGCTGAACTTGCCAAGCAGAAGTGACATGATCAGAATTTTAGGAAGGTCCTTGGCTTTCTTCTTCAGTCTCTTTCATTTCCACTCAAGCTGCTCAGGGACCATTCAAGCTGCTCAGGGACCTTTCAGTTTCTAAAGCACCGTAGATTTTCTCTGCCTGCCAGCCTGTGTAAAATCTGCCTAGAACACTCTGGATTACTCCTAGCGTCCTGGTCCATGGCCCACCTTACTATCTTTACTTTCCACCACAACAAAGCCTTGTTCACTAATTTTGCAGCATGTCTTTATGCTAGTTTAACCCCTCCCCTTCATGGGTCTGCAGACTCCTTGAGGGCAGAGCCCATGGCCATCCTGCTTGCTTATACCCAGTGTCTCACACATCAACCTGCAAACAATGTGCCTGCAGTAAACATGCTGATGGATGAACTTGGCCAGAGGTAATGCACCAGGTGAATCAGGTTAGCAAGAGACTGTGGACAAAGCAAGCATTCATCCAGCAGCTTCCCGTTTGAACACCTTCTATGTGCCAGGCTCTGTGAGAGGTGCTAAGAACACGAAGCTAGACAGATGTGATGGTGCTGCCTTCGGGGTGGCCAGGTTCGAGGAGGAGAGGCTGATGTGCATCGAGTCATTGCAGTAAACCGTGATGAGTGCTCTAAGAGAGGTCAGCACAGTGGTGCCACCAGGGAGGGCGTGAACAGCTCAGCCAGGAAGGCTTGGCAGGTGCTCACCGGGAGGTGTTTGGGCTGAGCCCCGAAAGGTGATCTAGAGCTTCAGCCTGCAGTGCCCGCCCGGGCATGGAGTGGTCAAACACTACGGTGCTTTCCGGGATGGGTGGCCAGTTTCATGTAGCCAGAACTTGGGGTGTGTTTTAAAAAAAATTTTTCCACTTGTTTATCTATATTGTATGGCCTTGTGGGTTCATATTTTATTCTTTGGTGGATTTGTCATCAAATACTGCATAGCAAATCATTCCCAAACTTAGTGGTTTAAAGCAACAATGGTCGTTATTGTCCCTCACCCGTCTGTGGGGCATGAATTGAAAGCAGCTTCCTGGATGGTCCTGGCTCAGGTTTCCGATGGGGTTGCAGTCAGGTGTCAGTGAGGCTGTGGTCCTGCCAACGTCACCTGAGGCTGGAGGGTCCACTTCCAAGGTGGCTCACTCCCTGAGGTGGACACTTGGTGCTCTTTGCTGGGGAGGCCTCTCCACAGGGCTGTCTGTCCTCACAGCATGGAGTCTGGGGAGGCCTTCCATCCAGAAGGAGTCACCTGACATGTTTAAAGGAACACTTTCATCCTTCAGATACTGTGGAAGGTGATGGTGCTGGACTGGAAGACAGGGATGGAACACAGAGGGGCATTTTCATCTCATTCAGAAGGAAACCTCTGAAAAGCAAATGGGCTGGTGTAAGAGTGTGTTTCTCATCACTGGAGATACATAAATAGATGTTGGAGGACTGAGCATGTTGGAGAGGGAGGGAGATTGTCTGGATTTGAATCTCAGCTCCGTCCCTTGCTAGCTGTGACCCTGAGGCAAGTCACTTAGCCCCGCTGGGCCAGTTTTCTCACCTATGAAATGGTACTTACCTCAGTGGGGCGAATCCACAACCTCCAGAAGACAACATCCTCGTTTACAGGATGAAAGATTTATTATTAATATTTTGAGAGAACTCAGTTGTGGCTAGCATATGATGAAGGATTTTGGGTTTTTTGCTTTTTGTGGGGTTTTCTTTTGCTACCTGTTTAACAATATTCTTATTATGCATTGCTCTGTAAGCTGACTGCCTTACTAGAATTCAGATATTCTGTTTGGATAAGGAAATGATGTCCTTATGCAGATTTCTATCAAACACTTTGATGGAATGAGACGAATACAACATATTGTAGCTTTATTTGATAATTATAATGTGTAGAATGGAATGATTTACTGAAAATTGAATCCTTTAATCTGTTATATTATGCTCTACTTAAATATGTAGTAATTTAGCTAATTATAGAACATCCCTTGTTTGTACTTTGGAAAGAATAGGCTATTTGTTTGCACTATGCTCAGCTTTACTGTGGTACAAGAACCAGTTCTCAAGGTTGTCTCCATTGTAGGTAAATATTGGTAAATGAAGCCATTTGAATGCTGATAACTTGAGAATGTAGTATGTAAATAATTACTGGTTCATATAGCCAGTGGGGCATGCTCAAGTGGTTGTAGTTGATTTAAGCACATTTTACTTTTCTTATGGTGAATTCTATAATACATTTTCACGATATTCAGACCAATTAAAAGTAATAGGATCTTCTCTACCTTTTTATCCCTAACACCTGACAAGTAGTGTGTATGATTGATAAGTGCTGAAGAATGAATGAATGGATGAATGAATGAATGAATCAACGAACGAATGATGACTTTCAGTTTGGGGCTCCACTCTGTACCAGGGTGTTCTAGCTGGATCCCGAAACTCTCTTTTCTGCTTGCACATTTGAATCATCAAGAAACTTCAAAATATCCTAATGCCTAGGCCTTGCTCAGACCTCTGCCCCAGCACTGTTTGAGGTGGTGGGGACAAAGCATTGAACAGAAACAGACCACTTCCTGCTCATTTCCAGCTGACACTTTAATCAAGGGAGCCTGAAAACGCTTAAGTAACTGTAAGATAAGACAGGGGGTGTTACAAGTTATGAGGAACATGAAGCGGCCTCAGGTAGAGAGAGGAGGAAGTGTTTAAGTCACAGGTGTTCAAATCTTGGAAAACCCCTACATTGGCCGTAGCTGTCATGTTAACTATTGGTTTGAAAAAAGACTCATTCCCTTCACCCTGCCTTCCCCCCATTTTGTTACTTACTTTATCCTGTGCTGAATTGTTACCCTCAAGTTCTCTGTGCTTCTATTTCTGTAGCTTCCAGCCATTACCTTTGATAGTGCCCAGAATAACATGACGAAGTCTGAGCCCTCTATCAAGGCGGGTGGACACAGAGCTCGAGGTCAGTGGCATGAGTCCACAGAAGCTGTCGAACTTGAAAATTTTAGGTAAGAAATCCAGTATCTCTCTTGTCTTTAACAACCTATTCTAATGAGCCCAAAGCTTTACTTACGTTTATCATGGGAGCTAAAATTGAAAACCCATTTCAAAATTTACCATGAGGGTTCTTAATAATTTTAGTGCGTGCTTAAACCCTTCCCAGAAATAGTGTGTAAATTATAGACTTACTGGCTGCCGGCGAAACTGAGCGGGAGCTTCAGGACACGTTGCTGACACGCATTTGGCGTCCGGTCCATGGGGAAGCGGCTGCGCAGTGTTGAGCCGGCGAGCGGGCTCCAAGCCTCGTCTTCGCTCGGGGTGCCCATACCTCCCATAGCTCACCAGCAGTGAGGAGGAGGAGCCCGCGGCTGGGAACAGATGCGCTGGCTGCAGACTGTGGCTGTCAAAACAATCAGGTTTTCAGGTGAAGGGACTGCACCTCACCTTTAGCACTGGGAGTGTCAGCCCGTGTTTGTCTCTCCTGTCGCCATGCAGACCTTCTGGAAGCTGCACATTCCCAAGGCCCCTCCCCTCCCAGGAGCTGGTTCTGTCAGTTTTACAAAGTGTGAAGATTTTTTGGCACTAAGTGCCATGTAAACAGTGAATGGCACGAAATATCAATATGAATATTCTAGAATGATCGTTTATTTGGCCTAGATTTTGTTTCCCTATCATTTTATGACAGTGAATTTAATAGTTCACAAAAGTTGCGTGATGTTATGAGTTCATATTTTTAAAATACACTTGTAGTGAGGAGCACTAAATTCTTTAAACATTGTTACATATTCAGTGTACTAGTGTCCATGCACTAAGAAACCGTCATAACCCTCATCTGCCCAGGGTAGGGACACACTGCCCGTTGGTATCTGCAAAGGCAGAATGGTACAGATGGCAGTAAAAGCGTCCAGAGATTGCCTTTGAGTTGGTATGTTTATGTATGTACAGCTTATTTGGCCCAGATCTTAAAATTAATCTCCTTTATCATGCACAAAAATGTTGTATCATATATTCTGTAGCAATGTGACCCTTTTGTACATTAGCACTTATCCTCTCCCAGTTCTAAAGTATAATATTTGGGATATTTTTAACCTCTGATGGCTGTAATATCAGAAAAAAGAAGCCGAAGCTGGACTTTGTTAAACACATGCATACGCACATGCACACTCACACAACATAAGCAACCACAAAAACTCTCACGAATGAAGGGTGTAGACTGTGTGTAATAAATCCCTACTACCTATAAGGAAATATGTCCACAGCCACTGGGGTAACAGCTATAGCCGCCATCGAGGTCTTGGCGGGTAGGAAAGTGAAGGGAGGGAGTTCTCTGCCTATTGCTCAGCTGTCTAGATAATGTGCTCCAATCACTCTTGCTCTCCCCATACTCCTTTCCTTCCTCTGACCAATTTTAGCTGTTACGTGTTTGTAGGGCATAATTTAGTTAATGTGGTAAAATGAAGTATATATGCTTGACTGTAATCCTTAATATTAACTTTATAACTGAATTTCTATTTCCTATTTTAACAATTGATACTTGCCTTTGGCAATATATTAAAATCCAAGAATCCTTTAACACTTGCATGAATACAGGTGATCTTTCTTTGGTAACTTTGAGGCATCCTAAATAATTTTTGTTATGAAATACTTTTCTGTTTGTTTCATCTCAGTATAAACTACAAGAATGAGAGGAATTTCAGCAAACATCCCCAGCATAAACTGTTTCAGGAGATCTTTACAGCCTTGGTGAAAAATAGACTCATATGCAGGTAAGTGTGTCCCAGGAAAGATGGACATTTACCCAAGAATGGCATATTTTATAGATCTCTAGCATTTGGCTTGAAGCAGCTTACAGGACTGAGTATAACATACTTAAAGGATACAGTAGAGCAGAAGCCCTTTAGAAGGAGATGAATAAAGAGGCATCGCAGATGATCTCATCGAAACCACTCTGGTTAGGGACTGAAGTTAGCTGAATTTATGAAAAATAAGGTAAAATGAGGAATGCAAGTTACACTGTTTTCCTTGTTTGAAGTTTCCTTATTTTAAAATAAAGTTCCTTTATTTTAAGGAGGAGGTTATTGCCTGGGTCCTTATAAGGGAGACGTTGAGTAACACAGGGCAACATCCTTACAGTGCACTTTTGTAGCCTGTACAGGGACTGATTACATGGGCTGCCCCAGCTTGGACCTTGGCAAAAGGGCGAGTGTGTGACGTCCACTAACAGTCCAAGGATGACCTTTCTTCCTAGGACCAAATCAAACGTTCTTTCCTTTGCTCGCCTTTGTCTTCACACAGGGGCAGTGTGGGACCGTAGAGAAGGGATAGTTGGCCAGTTCTTAGATTCTCTCTCGAAAGTCTCGGGGGTTTTTGGTGAGCCGCTGAGTGCTGCTGGATTGCAGTCAGGATTGAGTTTTCTCTCCATTCTTGTCTGCTGGAAGTGAGACCTGGCTCTGCTACCGCCAGATACGAAGGAGGCTCCCAACGCTCTGTCCTGGTAGAACCTGGTCTTCCACTCTTCCGAGGAGGCCCAGGCCCGCTGCCCACAAGCACTGGCTGAAAGGATGCCTATGAAAACTTTGCGTCTTCCTCACCACTTTGAGACTTGATTGGAATATCTGAATTCTGTCCCTGTGAGATGAGCAAAAATTACTCTTACTCTGGAAAATAGGAGAGATATTAATTAATAATTGAATGCATAGATTGAAATAAAACTCTGACCGGGTCCAGTGCAATAGCTGACTTTAAGTAGAACGTCATCCTGATGGGGCCTCCGTGATGAATCAGATACTAAGTACATGCCTAAGTGGCGGCCTAATGGTTTGATTATTAGGTTTAGTATAAAGCAGTTGAGGATGGGATTGCATCTGTCATGCCTTTGTACTTGATTCAAGCAGAGGGTTATTAAACTGACTCAGATGACACAAGGAGTCTAGAATCTTTGCCACAGGTATATAATTGGGTCAGTGCTCAGTTCTTGACAATATATGCGAAGACTGTTGAAAGATTAATGAGCATTGCAAAGGACCTGAAGTTGGCCTGGATTGTTTCCTCTTGAGCTTGAACAGAGTAGAACAATGATTAGTAGCAAAATAATTATGCCTTTCATAGGCATTAGAAAATGAAGATCTTTAATTTGTTTTGAAGACAACTATCCTTAATTCTTTAAGGGATGCTTAGGAGGCTATTTGTCAGGTTGGTACTTTGGGAAAGGAAGCAGATTTCCTATATTAAAGATGTGGAGACCTCACTGTGTTCTTACACTGAAGGCACTAGATGCAGATATTGTTATGGAAAATAATTGGGCAAGAGTTGGCATCCAACAGTTGAAAAAGATCTTAACAATTCTGAAGTCAAGAGATCTCTTGTCAGGACCTTTCCAGCTGCTTAGTGATTAATGAGGCATCTTATATTGGATGGTGTTACAGGCTTGCAATATGAGCAGTCCCTGGAAATCTTCAGACCAGGAAAGGACAATTATAGATCTCTTTGCTTTCATAGTATGAGAAGGAATTTAGGAATGTTAAACATCAAGAACATCCTTTTATAGCATCCTTTGGCTGCTGACAGATTGTGTTCAGTTCTCTAAAAGCAGGGTTGGGTAAAGGTGGCTTAGGTCTAAAGGTCTCTATTGTTTCTCAGACCATGTGAGACTGCCTTTTTCCCCCCTTCCCTCTGACTTTAGACTTATAGAAGAATTACATCTCAGGGCCTTTGCTGGTATGGCTTTCTATGCTCTTTCTTTGTGAACATCAGACTTGATGTTGACTGGAAGACCTGGGTTCCATTCAATAAACAAATTATTGAGCACCTACTATGTGCAAGGAAGAGAGACAGAGCAAATGGTGGAGAAGGAAGAGTGGGTGGAAATACAAAGATGAATAAGTGGTGTGGTCCCTTCTTTCTAGGGACTCAGAGTCTATCTGGTCAGCCACGCAGTTATCTCTTCCTCAATATAAGGGAAAATGTGGTAAATACAAACTGTGTATATGAAGACCACCAACGGCTGGGTGGAGGGGGCGTAGACTTTGGTCCGTTTCTGGTTGTAGACAAGACTGGCATATTCAGGATGTTAGGCCATTCAGTTTCATCCTGAGAATGTGGCTGATTGGGAATTGAGTCTCATCCGTGGAGTTTGAGCCCTTCAACTCCTCTCCCTATTTATGCCCAGTTGATGATGTCCCTCTTCTGTTCCACTCTCCCCAACTGCAGTCTCCCCTTAACCTGCACTCGGGATACCTCCTTTCTGGGTTCTTTTCCTAAGATTGACCTGTGATTCCCTTGTTCACAGAAATGACATTGTCAGGCAGCCTCTAAAACGAAACAGGACTTGTTAATCCAGAGTCAGATAAGGTAACGCTGTAAACACCTCATGGTAGATCTCAAAGGGCAAGTGAAAGTGTCGCCTCTGAATCTAAGGTTACTCCTGGTTACACATGGTAATGAATCCCTATGTGTGGCAGAGTAAGGGAGCAAATTTTGATCTTCCAACTTTTATTTCTGCTCTCACATCATTTGTCTACAGTAGTCTGCCGTTAGAAAACAAACCCACCCCTTTTTATCTTATCTGGAGGAAATTACTGAGAAAGTACAAAGGGTCTTGGTATGCAGGATAAGGTTATGAGGTTTTGTAGAGAAGTAAAAGTTGTCACAAAATTGACATATTTCCCAGTTAACTGGACACTTACAAAATTGACCTCTACTTAAATATCTCTTCTGTGTATCTGTTTCTCTGAGCTCCCTCTCTGTTGGTTCATTCCTTGCTGATTGCCAGACAATGTGAAGATTCTATAATACAAGGCACATGTAATGTAACCTACTTGTGAAATGAACTTGTGAATCTGGCTAAAGATGTAGAATTTTATGAAGTTACTGAAAGTAACTTTGAATTGAAGAGAGAGTATTTTAACAAGGAAGATGACAAAATGGGACTTCAAAAAAGCATATTTTAAATAACAAAGATCAGGAGATGCCATTAGGAAAAATCGATGAATCTTTCTAACATATTTGCAAAAATGAACCTCTTTATGCGGCAAAAGTCAGAAGTGAATTCAAGGATTTTGGATCACGTTATATAGTTTTGCCAGAGAAACATGCCAAAACATGCCAGCAAAACCTATTCTTGCTTTTTTTCTAGTTGTTAGATTAGAGTTACAATTAGAATATTTAAATGGAATCTTGCCTCTGCTATTTAATGTGAAACTTGGTGTTATTTTACGACGGTTCATTTAATTGGCCTCTTCCTGATACAATTATTCTAGAGTTGCCAGGATATCCCCTCTTCTCCCACCTGCAACTTTTGTAGAGGTCAACACACCCCAGGTTCTCTAATTTCAGTTAAAAGAGAACCAACTGATCCACTTAGCATGACTTTTCCTGTCCAAAAATGCAGTCGCTTTTCTGATAAGAACAAATTGGTATAATTATTTTATATCACATTTCCTGAAATACCTGCTGCACATTTGAAATATTTTGGAAATGAGTTTGTAGGAAGTCTAGATTGGGAAGATTATATTTACATTCTATACAAGAGCTCAAAAACTGCTTGAACTAGGGGAAAACATCTGACCCATAAATCACAATCTTGTGAGAAACGCTATTAGAGTGTTCTGGGAATTTCACAGAAGCCTCTCACCAAGAGGACCTATGTAGTTATGTGTTTACTAATCAGACCTTTGCTGTCCATGTCCACTCTAGGGCATATGTCTGCTGCAAGTGACTCTTCTTTCGAACTTTATCTGATCCTCAGCATTGGCTCTCCAGACGCCTTCACAGGGCGGTGAGAGGAGAGGACTAGAAGTTAGGATCAGTGGCATTCTCTTCCAGTGTCTTGATTAAAGTCTTAAAATATGTTATGTTGACAGAGAGATGCTTTTTCTGTGACTTTATTCCATCAGGTAGGAGAGATGCCAATAGGGGCCTTTGAAGGCTTCCTAGGAAAAGAGGACCCTGGTCACCTTGGTAAAGTCTGTCAGATCGTTCAAACCTCCCTAGAGAGGTTTCCACATCAGCCCCATAAGTTGGGTAGAAATAAAGGTTCATTAAGGTCCCCCAAAGTCTCAGGATTAGGTCTTTGGGCACTTAAAAAACCTAATGGCCAGAGTAAAGCTCCGGTTCCTTAGCTGGTTGCTGGAGTCTTGAGATCTTGACCCTTCTTGGCCTCATCTCTGTCCCTTCCCATTGCGTCCTCTGGGCTCACCAAGCTCAGAGCGAACCAGCCATTGTTTTTGGAAAGTTATTCTCTCACTTCTGAGCCTTGGCCCAGGCTCGTCCTCACCTGAAGAATGCGGCCCACGTCTTTCCATTTCCCGGTGTTCTGGCCCTTCAACTGCCCCCCCATGGCCCTGGGCCGCTCCCCACTATACACTATGCTTCTGAAGAGCAGGGTTTGGGTCTTTTATCCCCAACTCGAGCCGTTGACACTGGCTTTACCACAGAGCATGGGCCTGAGAGTCTTCATAAAGTAGAATTTCTTTGCATTAAATTGCTTTGGTCACCGTAAAAAAATTTAAAAAATACAGAAAATTATAAAAACTGAAAATTTACCCTTTATACCACTCTCAGAAACTGACATTAGCTCTTGCTGTATTTTCTTCTAATCTTTTAGGAAATTCTAAGTGTTTTCTTCTTTACTTACATGAGAGATTATTATACACATACAAAATTGTATTCTGCTTTTATCCAGAGTAGAATTTTTTAAAGAGTTGAATATTTGGCTGAATATCCTTTATAATCTTGTCCTTTTGTTTCTTTTTTGCTCCAAGTTTCA